CTGCGCGTTAGTCCGCGCGCGCCTCGCGAGGCCCCCGGGGGCGGTGTTGGGTCTTGGCCCCGCCCCCAGCCGCGGCCTCGCCCCCCGGTTCCGCGGCCGGGTTGCCATGGGGACGGCGCCATGGAGGTGACAGGCAGCAACTACGTCGGGGGCCGTGCGCGGGGCAGGTGGGCGGGGCCCGTGTCCCCCTCCGTGTCCCGGGTCATGTCACGTGTCCGGCGTCCTGCTTTATGTACCCATGTGCCCTGTCCCGTGTCATGCACCGCATGTCCTATATCATATGTCCCATGTCCCGCTCCAACTATCCCGTGTCCTGTGTCCCACATCCCGCGTCCTGCTCTGCATATCCCTGGCCCCAGTCCTGTGTCCTGTAACCCACCGTGCACGTCCTGTGTACCGTGTCCCACCTCCCGTGTCCCGTATCCCACCGTGCCCGTCTTGTGTACTGTGTCCCGCACCCACGTCTTGCGTCCCACATCCTGCATCCAGTGTCCCAGGAGCCTGGCTGCGAGCATGTTACCCACTGCGCATGCTACCCCCTTGCAGGTTGGAGGGAAGCGGCTGCTACATGCTCCCCACCATGAGTCAGTACAAGGGCGACATGAAAGATGGGATGTTCCACGGGAAAGGAGCCTTGCACTTCCCGAACGGAGGCAAATACGACGGCGTCTGGGACCATGGCATAGCCAAGGAGGTACGGCGCCCGTCCCTGCATAGAGTGGGGGAGGGGTGGTGGGCTCCCAGTGCCGGCGGCCAGTACGGAGCTGCCGATGACGCGTCCCACCGCAGAGCGGTTTCGTATCGGTTCATAGGTAATACTTGTCATCAGTCAGAAATGATTCCTCTCCGATCCACTCGCCATGCTTCATAGCTGTATGCATGAACTTGTTTTGCAGGGGAAATACACTTTTGCAGATGGCCTCGAATTCAAAGAAAAAAACTGGCATTACTGCGATGGCTACGACCGAAGGTTTTACACAGAAATCTGTTCAGGTCTCAAACCAGCAGGTACTGTGCTGCGTTCAGGCTCATGAGAGTCTGAAAGGAATTAAACCGGTGACTTGGGCTATTGAGAGAGATTAATTAAACTACATAAGTAACGTGGAGCAGGGATGCTCTGGTTTATTTCAGACTCCACCGGCACGACACTGCCAAAGGGCTGTTGATGGTACATCCAGCCAATGACGAACACAATGAACGCTTTACATCAGCAAGATAGCTTCTTCTTGCGTGATCCTCATGTCAGGACAGGGCTACCTACCAACTTCTCATATCTGATGAATCCTTTTGGGCTTTTCATACTTACTTATTCCAGACATGCTTTTATTACAGGAAACTTAAGCCAAAAAAAGAAAATAAAAAGAAAATGTATTCATTTGCATTTGTTGTGTTATATAATGTTCCAAAGCACCTGAATAATCACAGAAATGCATGACCAGCTGCTTGACAATGACAGCTTTCTACTGGATTCATATTTGCTTTATGTACAATATCTGCCGTTGTCAACATTCAGTGAGCACATTTGCCAGCTCACCTGCGACTGGAAGGTGAAAATATTATATAATGGAATAAATAATATATTGGTAGAGTAGGCTGCACTCTTATTCACAACTTGCATTGTTTCAGTAGTGACATGAAGTTATCAAGGGGCCTTTTAAGCAGGGGTGAGAGCCTGCTGGCCTCAGGTTGGAGTGTTGGATGCATATTCACAGTATAGACTAGTGGGCAAAATGATCCAAGCACTTTTCTTTTCAAAACTACCCACTTCATGTCTGAGGCTTTTTGTGTGTCAGTGACTCCATCTGCAAGATGGGCATACTGAAGGCCCAGCAAAGACTCATGGAGATCCTTGCTTACTCAAGGAGGTGAGGCAATTAGAGTACCTGTGGTGGAAGGTGCTGTAGAGATGTAAAGCAATATATATATAATTGTCAGTTATTTTGCTAGAGGAGTTCAGGCCTAAAAGAAAGCGTCTTATTTTTGTAATAAAATATGCTGTGTCTTTTCAGGTATCTCACAGCTTACGAACTTAGATCCTCCCAGACCTATCCCAGAAGGATGTTACGACTGCGGTGATGGATTTTACAACCCTAACACCAGAGTTGTCACTGACTACAAGCTCAGGTTTCTGAGGAATGCAGGTACATGTTGCTCATTTTGCAGGAAGAGCCAATTGACTTTGTTTTACTCGTCTTCTGTCATGTATGACTGTCACTGACATTTACAGACCTGTGTTTAAGTTCTGAAGCCTAAGCTAAAACATTTCCAACAACATAAAATGTTTGTTTCAACTAGTTAATTATGAGCAGAGCTTATAAACCATCTTAGATGTAGTTCTCAAAACTGTAAGGGGCCTTTCACAAACAAATATGAATACACACATTTGTTCACATTTAGCAGCTTTTAAATCAAAGAGCATGCTTTTTGCTCTACTGTGGTACTCCACAAGGCTGCTATTGCAAGATATCAATCCTTCAGTAGGTTTTATCTTGCTAGGTGCCAAGTCCGATCCTAACCTAGCCACGCACTTAAGCATGTACTTAGCATTAAACATGCGAAGTTCCTTTGATTATGGTGAGACCATTCACTTAAGGGCTTTGCGCACACTACCTTTCAGGATCACATTCATGTAGAGCTGGGCAAATAAGGGACTTTCCTGTAGAAACAAAAAATTGGCTCAGACTGAACTGAAACAACTTCTAGGTTTTGGGGGTGTTTTTTTTTGGGGGGGTGTGGGTTAACTAAAAGCTTCCATTTGGATCAACCTGAAATATTTGATTCTGAATGCTTTGTTTAGTTACTTGGTTATCTAACCTTTTTGTCTAACCTTTTACTTTTGCTTTAGATTAACTTTTAAGCCAAGTAGCAATTGAAAAAATGTCATAAGGAAGTCACAACACCATGCTTTGGTATTTCCAAAATCAAACTTTTCATTTTGAAAATGTTAAATTTTTCAAAATTCCCCCGCATTATTTTTGGCCAAAAATATTTTGAGTTTTACATGAATTTGAAACAGATTTCTGGCCTCCACCCCTGCTGGAACATTTTCCAACAAATTTACTATTTATAAACAAAAAATTCACTCAGCCTTAGTCGAGCTTTTAGAAGTGTGAATACGGTGTTGGGGGAGGAGAGGAGGGAAATGGGGAAAATAAATAATTGGAAATACCATCTGCTACAAAATATACCCTATGGTACATGGCCTATTTCATAAACCCTCAATAAAAACTGATCTAGATTATTACAAGTGGCACTGATCCAAAATACTGGAATGCAATGGGCCTACTGATGAGAAAGATAAGCAAAATGCTTTCCAAAAACACAGGAACCTACACAGATTAGTACAGGCGGGAACGCCTAGGAATTCAATTTATTGTTTTTTAACCTATGCTTTGAACTCAGTGTCCTTCGCTACATTTATCTCCATATCCACAAGCAGTCAATCAAACCTGTTAATCAATACTCACTGCATGGACCAGCACTGACCAGTCTCACTGAGTGCTCAGAAGCAGAATACACTGCTGCCGAACTGTTTTCAGTGAACGGTCCTTGGAGAGTCCTTCATAAGAGCAAAGTTATATTTGTCACTATGGGTGTGAAGGAGGAATGTATCATGTCGGCCAGTCCCTTCCTCCAAGAGCACAAACACAATTGAAAGGCCCAGCGCTTGTCCAACATCAGAAGAACTTTGACTGCCCCAAGAGGAATAATTCAGGGCAGCAGGCCATGGCAGTAAGAAAAAAACCCAGCTGTAGACAGAAGAAACTGAGGAAAGAGGTTGGAATGACAGGGAACAGATCCAGAACAGCTCCTTTATAGGTTGTGCAGGAAAGAGCAGGAAAACCTCCGGGCTTCTGGCCAAGTCTTGAAAGCATCAAAAGCAGATGGTAGGAAGCATTCAGGAAGCTCTTACAGCAGCTTGACAGGTTTACCCAAATGACACCATCTTCCTCGGTCTGGGAGTGGGATTTAAGGAGAATCCATCTCTCAGCCTTTCACCTTTGCTTTGTCACAAAGCAAGTCGCTTCACTGCCGAGTGGGAAGGCAGGACAAGGAGGGCCCCTGCCATGGTACTGACCAGCCTGTCACACTAGCACTGAATCCAGACATCTTCCTAGTAAAGAGCAGAGAGTCTCCATTCAAATTCACTGGCATTTTTTTATTGAATCTCACCTATGCAGCATAGCCTGGAAATCCCTGCTACTTTAGCAAGACATTAGCTTTCCAAATGTGAGAGTCAGAGTCTCTCTCACATTAACTCCCATTGCATCAAAGTGCTCCAAAAGAACTACAAGGGAAATAAAGGCAGGCCCAGGGTGAGCGCAGTGGAAGTAAATCGCTTTGTTTCATCTCTTGTGTCTAGCCAAGGGTTCCAAAGGTTTGTTAATGTCCTGCCAGGTCTTCTGCTATGCACAAGTTCTTCCCTGGGGATACAGTCCTTTTTGGATCTTTTTTTTCCCCCACAGCATCACATTATACACAAAAAAGTTCACACACGGAGAATACACAGAAGCACATGTTTGTCTGAAGACTCACTGTTTAATTTTCTTTTAGCAAGTGCTTGGTAATCTGGGCCATAGACTCCCCCTCTCCATCAGAGATGCACAGCCTTGGGCTGCTGGCACCATCATTACCGAATCTGGCCAATATAAAGACCGGCGGAAGAATTCCCAAGTTCTCTCTTGTCAGCAAAAGCCCTCAGTGATGTAATTTCCAGCTTCCTGCAAGCAAGAGAGAAGATTCTAGGATGCAAGAAGAGTAACACCATACCAGTTGCGAGGCTTTCCAGGCTGATACTGGAGGCCATAAGCTGTCATAGAAAAAACATGCTGCCAAAAGTGAAAACCCTTTTCTGCAGAGGTGATGGGGTAGAGAGGGATAATAGTGGAGCAGGGCCTACCTCCTTTCTAATGGAAAGTAAAGCTGCTTTTGGTATAAGACGCTTTCCTTCTTCCTGTAGCTCATGATACTGACTCGTGTGATGCAGCTTCTGCTCTTGCGCCTCCTGTTCTGATATCAGTTCTGCTTTGCTGCCCCATCCTTCCTGGGTTTAAGTGGCACATAGTCCGGCACTCTGCCATGGGGTAGATTTCATCTGATGTACATTGGCCCCTTAATACAGTACAGTAGAGAGGACAGAGATAAATCCTGCTTTCACTTACACCAGTAAAGCTCAATAGGTTACGTCTGGATTTATACCTGTGCAACCAATAGCAGAATTTAGCCCAGAGCACCAAGGCAGGCAATTATTTTTTGAGAGAAGAAGTTTTGCATTGCTAGCATCTCAAAGCAGTCAGCAATAAAGCTCTGATTTCAACAACCCTACAATCTTTTCTGTGAAAGAGTAGGCCCCAGAGTGCTTGGGTGAGGGCTTTCTGAGTAAATGATTTCAGACTGAAAAGGTCAGAAGTCAGGAGTATTAATAGAGTTTTAAAAAGCCCCAAGTTTCATTAGAGCAGAGCTGACATGATTCTGTGAGCACAATTGGTACTTCAGGTCTAAGCCTCCACAATCCCTGTGCGTCCGGCTTCCTTGGACCTTTGTTCTCCAGGCTGAACGCTCGCCTGGTCTGAAGGAGGCTGGAAGTGAATTCGTTGCAAAAGTCAGGAGTTTGCCTTGCATGTTGGGATGGTCCAAGCACAAAAAGCCACTAGATACATCTCTGAACTGGCTTTGTTTTACAACTCTTATGGGATGTGCCCCAGATCCTCTCCGAGGAACACAGGCTTTGTCTGCTGTGAAGAAATGTAGTTGGGAAATACAGCCAGAACCATCTGAAAATGGTGTCTTCATTATATGCACTTTCCAGGTTGACTTCCCATACCGAACGTGAGCCAATGTTTCACAATCACTGACATCAGAATGGGGAGAGAGGTGAGGTCTTGGTCATCTTTCAGACTGGCAGGTCTTTTTGGATATCAGGCAGCGAGTACAAGTGTGCTGTACTGCAGGGACATAGTGACCATACTTGCAAGCCATTTATTAAGCACCATTATCCTCTGCTCCCCTCTGAGGATGCCCATTCTATGGATGGAGGGAGTGGGTGAATGCTCCAGTTCCAGGCTACCCCTAGTCATTGCCTGTGAATGGGAGAGCTCTGTTGGCAGGTGGCCTTTGCAATGGAAAAGGAAAGCCCTCCACAACAAAATGCATACATAAATCATATAGTATTTTCTTTCTTGGACTGCACTTAGCTTCCCATAGATTTTAACGTCTACTTATGAAGCAGGACTGTTGAGTCACTTGTACAGTTGTTTCCTTTCTATTTGCCTTGAGATAACTGAATTTAGATGAGGTCTGGCTCCTACATATTGAAACTCTTAAAAGCTCTTCAAATAATTGTTCTTTGGATACTTTTTAAGCTAAAGAAATCAGTTTTGATCGGCAATAAAAGTTCATGCTATTTTAAGTGCAATGCTATAGCTATTTGCTGTTGTATATTTAATCATTTTCAATTATATGTCATGTAAAAGATTTTAGCTCTGGGGCATTTGCCAGATGGCTGATTCTGCATTTCACACAACAAAAGAAATAATGTTTGTGTAAAGCTCTGAGAAATTGTTAGTAATCAGTATATTCTACAAGGAATGGGATCCAGACCTGTTTGGGAAAAAATCAGCTTTTGCAGAGATTAATTTAGAGTGCTTTAGTCTCTACCTCTAGGCTCTGAACAAAACAAATCATACTTACGGCTTGCTGATTTTTTTACCATTTGACAAAAGGACCGAATTTTATATTTTACATATTTTTATGACAAATGCAGTTTGTTTGCAGTTCAGTGATCCTTCCTCCTCTACCTGGAGCTGGCAAACTTACTTTCGAATAAAAAATAGAGGAGTGAAGAGAAGGTTGTGTACCTTTCGGTACATAAAATACAGGTGCAGTCGTGACACCCTTCCTAACGTGTGCGCCATTGCTAGACTTGCAGCAGGCAATGCACTTCTCTTTGTCATCTCTTGCTTTCCTCACCCCTTTTCTCTAAGCTCCCTGACTTTCCAGGCTAATCTTTTTGAAAGAGCACAGCAAAATGATCTGACTGGTGCCATCAGATTGTGTTGCTCCACTGGCTTCCTTTGTCCTCCCGCTGCGTCTCCCTGCTCACATGCGAGTTCTGAGGGTTGGAGCTGGTCTCGTGCCTTAT